AGAGAGAGAGAGAGAGAGAGAGAGAGAGAGAGAGAGAGAGAGAGAGAGAGAGAGAAGGAGGAAAGTAACAGGTATTTATTTACAAGGTATTGAAATAGATATTTGTTCACCAGATATTTATTCACAGCTTCATTAGCCAATTTAAGTGCAATTTTCTCTGACAGAACTGTCGGGGAAATCATTGTTTGTGTCGTATCTCTTTAACTCTCCGCGTACGATGTTGAGCCTATCAGACCTGAATAAATATTCGATTGTTTACCAATTTTCACAAAAGACCCGGACAATGTTCAAAATAATGCAAAACTGCAGATTTTCATTTTATTAAACTACTATTTTATATACTAAGAGAAAAAATATCTGAAAAGAGTAGAAAATATTTTTTTTTTTTTTTTTTTTTTAAAGAGAGATGGGCATATTAATAACATATTTAATTAAATTCAAATTCTTTCATTTAAATAATAATAAACCGATCGCTTTGATAAAGTGGAAAGCTAAGAAATTTTCTTAAGGTTTTAAACAAATATATATTTTCCCATCTGAAAAATATTTTTATATTAGCATAAGTAAATACGTTGTTAGTAGTCACAGAATAAATATTTACTATTTCTTAGATATTTTTCCTCTCAGTGTAATAGCTGTGAAGCTTTTCTATATCTCTAGAAGAAAATGTGTGCGAAAGCATTAAACTTCAACAAAATTATAGTGGGAGGTTTAAAGTTATCAGCTCTGACAGATCCAGATTGTACTGAGTGTCCCAAAATATATAATTATATGCGGAGGATCAAAATTGTTAAAGTAATTATCGTCATAGAGGCCTTCTCTTGCGGCCATGAGTTAATTTACGGAAATCGGAAAGTATTTTGGTACGTGATTCGCGACATTGACTCGAATGAGATATCGCACCACGTGCTAACAGATATTCACGTCAAGCGTGATATTTGAGAGAATCGTGCGACACGTTAAACGCTCATCGATATTAACATAATGATATGCATTAAATGATACATATTAACGACGAAAGGCGACATTCATCACACACGGCTCGCAAAACACATCATCGTCAGTGCGTCACCGCGATACTTATTTCGAAAGTCGGTAAAAAGTCACGCCCGAGTGCTATTATTTTCTTTCGAGACATCCCAATGATTCTCGTTCATGATAGAGCGCGCGACACATTTTTCAATTTCTGCACTTGCTTCTCGCGCGTTGAGCTCATCAGAAATTTCATACCACTCAAAAAATAAAGTACACTAGTTGCAAGGCGCTACTATTGGCGAATGATCACGAAAGGTGAGTTGTGATAGCGGCATTTGCCGCTGTGTGCTTAAGGTAGGTGTGCTTAGGTGACTTAGGGTAGATTAGATGATGACCGAACGATAAAGTCCTCTATCACTTTGCAAATAATCATGTAGATTTTTAATTATTAATTAAAGAACATTGGTGCACGGACGCGCGCTGTCATTCGCAAAAGTGGTAGAGCAATTTTGTGTTCAGCTCGCAAAATGGTAGAACAATTCTGTGCTCAGTTTTTAAGGCTCCTGGCCCCTCGCATTGTCTATCTCTTTTTAATGACGTCAGAAGCGAGAAAATGCATGCTAAAAATTCTTGCGAAATACATTGAAATAAAAATATATATCCATAAAGTAACTTGCAATCGACTAAACAAATTTATGAGATATTCCGTGTACTCCCCTTTTACTCTAACAATCAGTAATTTATTGTAAATTAATCTGAATAGAAATAGGCGAAGAAATAGGTTAAGAAGATGAATTGTATATCACATTAATTTACGACAAATTACCGATTGTTAAAGCAAAAGGGGAGTGCACAGAATATCTTAAAAATTTGTTTAATCGATCGCAAATATTACTTTATAAATATATATTTTTATTTTAACGTATTTCGCAAGAATTTTTAGCATGCATTTTCTCGCTTTTGACGTCATTAAAAAAAGATAAATAATGCGAGGGGCCAGGAGCCTTAATATACATGCAGATGAAATGTGAGATGCTCAGCATCTCTCAGACAAATACTCACAAGGGAACATAGACAACCCGAAAATTCAGAAAATTCTGAAACATTGTGTGCAAGTAGAGTAGTACATCCATAACATAAAACTATTTTTTGTTTCTGCTAAATTTCGATTTAAGTGGGTGAAACCACCCCTCTAAAAAACATTTTTATTTTTAGTGAATATTTCCTAAAATACAAGGCATATGAAAAAATAGTTTGTATAAAAGTGATAGAATATTTTATACTCTTTGCAACGGTGTATTAAAATTTTGCAAAAACGAAAAATTTTTGAACCCTCTTTTCCCCATTCATTGGTTTCGAGGGGTAGTTTCACCTCCTTAAATCGAAATTTAGCAGAAACAAAAAATAGTTTTATCATGGATGTACTACTCTACTTGCATACAATGTTTCAGAATTTTCTGAATTTTCGAGTTGTCTATGTTCCCTTGTCAGTGTATACATTGTAGTTAGAAAATTTATCTTTTGGTTTTAGGAAAATCCTCTCGAGGGCATATATAATTTCAGATTCAGAAGATTCCATTAGGATTCCAGAAGGATGACATTGCACTTTCTCGAGTGTCATTTCCGCCACTTTAACTGTGCGGAAGAAAAGTTTTCGCATGATATCACTGGGAAGATATCAAGCACGTGATAAAAAAGCAGTGGCGCGACGAATATTTCTCAAGGATTATCTGAGTATCGTACAACGTGGTGTCGTCCGATGACGCAACGAACGTTGCGCCTGATGACACCACAACGTTATCGATAATGCGAAACCGCCAGATAACAGATAATATTATTCCTTGTTTGCATTATATCATGGAAATCGATAAGTAGATTTAACATCGAGTTATCGTGACGCGCGTTGCAATCTCACTAGAGACGTGTGAAAAATGACAATATTTTCGCAGTGACAGCGAAGATACCGTCACTCGGATTCGCAAGAATGAATGCTTCATTCTAACTTAGAGTGAATCCTGACTTCGTACGAGCGAATGTGTTTCAGTCGATTAGAGTGAAAGCTATCCTGCGTGTGGAGTATGCACATCGGGTTCTTCGTTCTTCAATTTCGAGTGAAGACACTCGCTTGACGATTTGCAGAATTCACTCTGTATGAATGAACTTGAGCAACTCGCTGATCGCTCTGCTTTCCCAGTGAAATTTTACTCCAAGAAATTTAGAATCGCTTTCCTTCAATTTCGCCGTAATACGTCATAATAAAGAAATTTGATTTCGCCGATGACATGTACACGCTGTGACGCGCTACGTAGGTAAGTAACGAACTATCCTTGAAACTAAAAGTGTACATACGCTTTAGTAAAATACGACAGTACGGCACAAGCTGGTCTCGTGGAAATGATATAATATGTCAAGTTTATTTCGCGCGTCAACTATCTTCTTTTATTGTTTACTCAATAATATTTTCCTGCAATTGTGCAATGTTGCTCAGTATTTTTCGCGTCCGTCGCATTTCAAGTTTCGTGAACTTGACTCCAGCAGGAAAAGCAAAACACGTTAGAATTTTTGCGATTCGTAATTAAGTTTGTTGTTCTCTTATTTTCATCTAAGATGTTACAAAATAATGTTACCGCTCAAAAAGCCGTAAAAGAAGAAAATAAATAAGTCATGCTGTTCTGACGCGATAACTTTTTCGTGCTTTATGTAATTTATGTGATTTCGCGTTTTATTACAATTTTGTTATTTGCAATAAATTATCATGCTATAAAGAATAATTGCCGAGAGACACGTAATCGTGTTTCTTTCGTGGCTTTATATATTTTTGATTACTCGCGGATCTCTATTATTTATATACTCATGTATTATTATTTGACAAGAGAAAGAAAGAAATATCAAAAACATCTGAGTGTGACAAATAGTCGAAAAGTAGAATGTGAGTATTAATTTCATTAAAGATATTTATGTATGTACGCGAGCGCGCGTACACGTGTATGTATATTATGCATGTACATATTGACGTATATATAATCATTGAAATCAGTATAGCTATTACTTCCTTCTATATAAAATCATTTGCACTTCAGTCTAGCGCTGTTTTTAAATTACTGCTTTTAAGAATCCATGAATTTCAAATTCTAACGAGCTTTTTCTTAGTTACACGATTTTTTCATAACAAGTTTCAAAAGATAACCTTGACGAAAGCAATTGCACAAATCTAAC